CTAACTTGCTTCCATTTCTCTTGAAAATATTTCCTCAACCACCACTCAAATGTCACTTAACAAACAGTAAATGGAAATGAGAAAGTTGCAAAGACAGGTGCCTGAAAGAACTTTGCTTTGATAATACTGCTTAAGCAGAAGTCACAAAGGACAAAGTAATAAGGCAATCAAGGAAAAGTTGCTTCCAAGAGCAAGTGGGCAGGGTCATCAAGGGCCCGACACAGTCACAGACTTAGCTGTCAACCTTTCAACTCTCCTGCAATTGCTATGGAGCTGTATTTTTTTTTAAATATTGATTTATATGAAAGGCAGAAGTTGAGGGAGAGACAAAGAGATCTTCCATCTGCTAGTTTACTCCTCAAATGGCCTCAAGGAAGCCAGGAGCCAAGAGCTTCATCTGGGTTTCCCATATGGGTGGCAGGGCCCCAAGCACCTGTCATTCTCCATTGCTTTTCCAGGAACATTAGCAGAGAGCTGGACCAGAAGGGGAGCAGCTGGGATTCAATTCAATGTCCATATGGAATGTTGATATTGTAGGCACTCTCTTTACTGATCATGCTACAATTCCAGTTCCTAGAGCTGCAATTTAAACAGGTGGGTAAATGTGATACTAGGATCCAGAAGGCCAGAGAATTTTGTTTGGTTATATTCCATGTTGTTAGTATTCAACTGGCATTGAGTAAAGGTTTTGAACAAAATTTTAGCCCTTGCACTTTTGTAAGCTCAAACAAAATCTGATCTAATGTGACTCTGCAAATATCAATACAGAAGCATTCCAAGACTTTGTGTTTCTCAGAGACAGTTTAGGAATAGCTCTACAAGCCTGATAAAATCAAAGGGGTCATGCCATAAAAAGTAGAAACATTTTATGTTGGAATACAGCAAACTGGGATCATCCTAACAAAATCTCCTATTAATGATCCGTTCAACATGTTTCCAGTTTTGAGTTGGAAAGGGGGCCCAGAAGAGCTTTGGAGGAGCTAGGAACACATAGCTGCTCAATACTAGAAATGGAGAAAGGCAAGTCAGACTGTATCTATGCCTTTGATTGAACAGTTGTATTTCCCTTTGACTTGGATGATCTGGGAAATCATGTCTTTTTCCACTGGGCTCATTCAAGAAATAGGCTTTCTTCCTGTACAGTGCTCAAAGGAGCCGCTGGGCAAAAGGCCACTTAGACAGGGGGGCAATGTTTCTCTTTCTCTCTCTCTCCTTTCACTGTTGAAATGCATTAAATATTACTAAGGTCAAATATGGATCAAAGGTTGTATTTGGAGTAGTAAAAGACAATTTTACAGTAGCCAGCATTACTTTAAAAGAAGTAGCAAGCATACTTCTTTAGCAAGGTTTTTTTTTCCCCCTCATCATATGCATGACACACAGAGAGTTATTAGGCAGCTGGCATTGAGCCATGGGATCACCACAAGTTCATCTCAACATCAAAATAATTCGATTTTGTGTCATTTGGTTTTTTAAAAGATTTACTTATTTTTATTGGAAAAGCAGATTTAAACAGAAAAGTAGAGACAGAGAGAAAGATCTTCCATCCACTGGTTCACTTCCCAATTGGCCAAAACAGCCAGAGCTGAGCTGATCTGGAGCCAGGAGCCAGGAGTCTCCCATGCGCAGGGTCCCAAGGCTTTGGGCCACCCTCCCCTCTGCTTTCCCAGGCCACAAGCAGAGAGCTGGATGGGAAATAGAGCAGCTGGGACACAAACCGGCACTCATTTGGGATCCAAGCATGTGCAAGGCAAGGATTTAGCTACTGAACCACGTATTGGGCCCTTGTTTCATTTCTATATTCCATAACTTTTAGATGTGACTACAGATATTTTCTATTTTAGGAAAAGACAGATCATCAAGAAGAAAGTAGAAAGAAACCCTTGAATATCCTGTAAATATTTCTGGTTCTAACAAAAATTTCACTATGAATATTTTTTTAAACATACGAAACTGTTTTATTTGTTCAGTCAAGTATGAGTACATGTACAGGAGGAACTGGCAAGCACAAAGAATAAAGTTCTTAAGTAAATATAATAAATTCTCACAATTTCTCTTACTCGCAGTAAGTTTTTGCACTTGGACAAAAAGAAAAGAGCTTGTGAGTGTGTGCTAGGTTTAATTTTGTGTCAAGGATTTAGCAGGGCAATGAACACTAAATGATGAATTGCTGTTGATCTAACACGGTTCCTAATAATTTTTAACCAACAGTCCTTTCCATACGTGTGCAGTTAAGCAAAGTCACAAAATTGCACCTGACAAAGGAAATAAACTGTTTGTACAGAGATTAGTCTCTTCGACCATACCTGCTCACAGGCCCCTCACCGTTGCCCAGTAAGTGCACAGTCTTGGGGAGGCAGGGCAGATAGGGTTTTATTGCCCTTTTCTCCAAGAAAAAGGCTGATAATATGCTTTGCAGATCAATGTTCACAGAAGCCTCAGATCCAACCGGAAATAACGAGCCACTTAAAGGTAACCTGGTTCTCGGGGAGCTCATGCTGACAGCTCAGTTAGGGTTGGAATGTGGGCCAGTTCAAATCCCTCCCTGGTGAGTACATCAGGGAAGGCAAAAAAATGAAGTGGGTCCCACAAGGAAGAACAAGCTCAAATTTCAGGAACCACACTTTCCCCTGGTTCTCCAAGAAATTCTGTCCTTTATAACATTTTAGGACTGAGTAGCTCACCCTTGGCACAATGTGAATTGATTGCCCGTTCAGCATGATAAATTGAGATATGAATTATTGTAGCATTCTTATACATCACTCTAGCAACTCTCAGGGTCCAAAACCTGCTTCATGTCTGACCTGGCTGTTGTCTTCATGTTTGCACTTGAAAGTCAGGCCTTCCTGTGCAATATTTTGTGTGGATACTTACAGGCCTTTAAATATACAGATTTAAGAGTTTATTGTTGCTAGATTTCAAAGCATTATAGAATGTGAGGATTTCTTTATCTGAAAGAGTTACAGAGAAACTCAGAAAAACTCACATGGGAGGCCTGAATGAAGCTCCTGGCTTCATTTTGGCCAAGTCCTTGCCACGGTGGCAATTTGGAGAATAAACCAGCGGATAGTAAATCCTTCTCTCTGCCTCTTCTCCACCGCTTTTCTTTATAACTCCACCTTTTGAATAAATGAATCTTTAAAAGCAAACAGAACAAAATCCCTACCAATCCCAGCACATGGCTCCCTCGCTTTGTTAACCTCCCACAACGCTCCACAAGCTTCAGGAGGAAACTCCCAACCTGTTGGTAACCCCACCTACTGTCCTGGTCCTTCCTAGGCTCCGTGCAGTGTTGCTCCACTGTTTGGACTTGTGTCCTATGCCTCCTCCCCACTCTAATGACTCCTAGTTATTCCAGCAGGCACAGTTGTCAGTCAGGCGTGAGCCCTCTGCTCCCCTCTGCCTGTCTCTCTCATGATGTTTAAAGGTAGAAAGGGTGTTTTTCGTCTCACCTTGCCAATTTGTTAAATGAATACATGAAAATAGTCAGCTTTGTTATTGGACCCAAATTCCCTTCCCTCTCTAACCTCCCCCTATTCTCTTGACTTTACAAACAAGAACCATTGGGATGTGCCTATGTGAATGGATTTTAAATGTCTCACAAAAAGGAAAACTAAGACATTTTTTCCTTTATGTGATTGAAGCAAACCACAATGGTTCATTTAGAGCTTTTACTTTTAATTACAATAGAGGAAAATCGTTGCAATTTCTAATTTAAACACGAAGTTTTTTTTTAATGTAAAGCACGTGGAAAGCTTAGGAAAGGTTGTAATGCTTAGGGAGAATTTTCAGAAGGTTGGGGGGAAGGGGCGCATAGCCAGAGCGCTGAACTCTCCTCCCCCCTTCTCTCCCTAGTGCTGCTGAGAGCCTGCAGACAGGGCCACCTGAAACCACTTTGCACTCCATCCTGCAGCTTGAATGCAGCTACTCTCAATAATCCTAAACTGTTCTGCAGGCTAGAGAACAGCAAAACACTTCTCGGCAGGTCGGTCCCACTCCCAGCAACGTTTTCCTCCACGGCCGCGGGTAACGACGTCGCACTCAGCTCACACCTCCCTCCCTGGCCCTTTATCCCGTCCCCCACACCCGCCACTCCAGCAGCCGCCATTCATCCGCACGTGCCAGCTAAGCCCTCTCTGGAGACCCGCTTCTAGCGCTCAAGAGCCTCAACAAGGAGTGAAAATCAGGAAAGTCAAAGCCGCAGGGCGAAAATTCCTCAACGGATAGTTGCTTCACCTGAAGCGACCCTCAGCCAGTCAACCCCAAATTGACGTTATTTACCGTAGTCACCATCGTGTAGCCCAAAACAATTTGCATAGACCCTTCACTCGCTCAAAAATTGTTTAAGTGCCTCATAAAATTAACAGTGACGTTCCATCCATTCATCCCCCTGACCGGGTATTCAATTCCTTAATGACAAGCGCCCCGAGTGCCACTACCACCCCCGGCATAGTCACTGACCTGCCGTCAAAAGGGAGAGAGGAAACTGCGCCTGGGTTACTCAACTTTTCGTTCTTCTCCACCCTCTGTTGGGGCAACAGCCGAATTCACAAAATGAGCAACCCCAGGAAGCCCAGAGCGGCTGGCCGACGCCACCGCTCTCCACTCTCCGCGGATTACCCCCGCCGACGGGCGGGTGGTGCCTGTCTCCTTGGCCCTGCGCCCCGGGGTACCCCCTCCTCCATCGCGCGGGCGACGCGTGCGAGTGGCAGAGAGCGGAAGCTAGCGGACTGCGTCCTGCCCGCGGTCGGCCTCTGTCTCCGGCCAGAGTGCTCTCAACAGCCCAAGGAGGGTCTGAGTGAGGAGGGTTCAGGCCACCGAGAGCGGGACCGGGACCTGGACCTGGACCTGGGGCGGTGAGCTTGCCCAAGGAACCCTGGGACCCCTGGAGACTGGATCCAGAGTAGGGAATAGGGCGCCTGCAAAGCGTGCTCTAGTGGCCTGGGAGCAGCGGTAGGGCAGGAGAGAGGGCGGAAGCCGGCAGGAAACTCTGAGAACCTGGCCTGGCCGGCCGGGCTGGGAACAATGTAGCAGAGAAGGACAGGGCGGCGCCCAGCTGGGCTGCCCAGCCCGCTCACCTCGCTCTGGCTCTCTGCCCGGGACTGGGGAGGAGTAGGAGGGAGTCGGACCCGAGGCCTCTGGCTTCGGGGACCGCCCCCTCCCGCGTCCTGGCCGGCGGTTAGAGGCTGCTGCGACAGCCGGAGCCCCGGCGGCAGCATGAGAGCCGGCGCCGCTCCTCCAGGCCTGCGGACGCGCGGCGAGCGGCGGCGGCCCTGCCAGCGCGCGCCATGGGGCCGCCGTGGGGCCCGGAGGCTGGCGGGCGGCGCCGGCGGCGCCGAGGCCGGGGGCAGCTGGAGAGCGCCTCGGCGCTGGTGGCCGCCGGCCTGATGTGCACCGCGCTGGCCGCCTACGTGTGCTGGGAGCAGCTGCCGCCGCTGCCCTGGACGTCCCCAGCTCCGCAGCAGCCGGTGAGCGTGCTGCTGTGGTGGGAGCCCTTTAGGGGACGCGGCGCCGACGAGAGGCCGCCCCCCGACTGCCGCCTGCGCTTCAACATCAGCGGCTGCCGCCTGCTCACCGACCGCGCGGCCTACGGCGAGGCTCAGGCGGTGCTCTTCCACCACCGCGACCTGGCCAGGGGATCCTCCGACTGGCCGCCGCCCTGGAGCGCGCGCGGGGACGCCGTCGAGGATGTCCTGGAGCAGGCGGCCCTGGCGACCTCAGGCTCCAGGCCCCCTGGCCAGCGCTGGGTGTGGATGAACTTCGAGTCACCCTCTCACTCACCCGGGCTGCGAAGTCTGGCAGGTAACCTGTTCAACTGGACGCTTTCTTACCGGGCCGACTCGGACGTCTTCGTTCCCTATGGCTACCTCTACCCCAGGAACCACCCGAGTGACCAACCTCCGGGCCTGGCCCCGCCGCTGGCTCGGAAACGGGGGTTGGTGGCTTGGGTGGTGAGCCACTGGGACGAGCGCCAGGCCCGGGTCCGTTACTATCATCAATTGAGCCAGCACGTGCCTGTGGACGTTTTCGGCCAGGGAGGGCATGGCCGGCCGGTGCCCGACAGCGGGCTCCTGCACACGGTGGCCCGCTACAAGTTCTACCTGGCATTCGAGAACTCGCAGCACCTGGATTATATCACTGAGAAGCTGTGGCGTAATGCGCTGCTGGCTGGGGCGGTGCCAGTGGTGTTGGGCCCAGACCGGGCCAACTACGAGCGCTTCGTGCCCCGTGGTGCCTTCATTCACGTGGAAGATTTCCCCAGTGCCTCTGCCTTAGCCACCTACCTGCTCTTCCTCGACCGCAATCCAGCTGCCTACCGCCGCTACTTCCACTGGCGCCGCAGCTACGCTGTGCATATCACCTCCTTCTGGGACGAACCGTGGTGCCGGGCTTGCCAGGCTGTGCAGACAGCTGGGGAACAGCCCAAGAGCATAGGCAACTTGGCGCACTGGTTTGAGCGGTGAAGCCCGCACCCCTTGCAAGCGACCCAGGTTAACCAAGTTGTCAGCTTCTTGACTGCGGAATCAACATCTTTTTTTTTTTCTTTATTGGGAAGGTGTGATTTGCCAATTAACATTATTCAACAACAAGATGGAGTGGGAAAGGTCCCATGTGATCCTGTTTGATGCACCACTAGCCGTTGGGTTCCATATGCTGTTGATGGTCCCTTGTTCAGGGCTAACGGAGGACACCCAAGCTCAGGTTGTAACTGATGCAGAGGTGCAGAAATGGCTTAGCCAAAAGGCACCAAGGCCATTTCTACTGTATTTCTACCTTGGTGGCCCTATTCACAATGCCCTAAAGCAACAGGAAGCAAACTGCTGGCTTCAGAAAGGGCCTTGGGGTGGCACAGTGGATGACTGGTCATCAGCAGGGCTCTCTCTGTTGGAGTTCTTCAACCAGGGCTCCTGGGACAGGTGAGGACGGTGCTTAAAGGAGCTATTGACTTCCTTAACAAATACTGCTTTTTCTGCCCTGTGAATGGGAACAAGATGCTGGATTGTCCTTGGAGGAGACTGAAGATGAAATATATGGTTGTACTTCCTTAACACAAGAATGTGTCCTGGAAAAATCTGCATTTAAGTCAGGTGTGAAAAGCAGGACCCTGGGAGAGCTCAGTATTTAATGGAGCTCTCTGGAGAATCCCTTTATAATGTGAATGATTGTCTCCTAATTTATTTCCTCTGTCATGTTTTTCTTGTGGTTGGATTTTTTTTTTAAGCATATTGATGTTACACAAGTAAAGCTCAAGCAGAGGCAACTTTCTTCTCTTCCCCCAAACAGCCTATGTTTACAAACAGAAGAAAAGAAGCCACAATGTCACTTTCCACAAAATTATTTATGTCCTGCCTTCACTGAACTTGAATTTTAGGCAGGAAGGCCAATCATTCCAGGGTGCTGGCCTTGCCTATGCGCAGAACAGCACAGCAGGTTGTACTGCATAACAGAATTGTGCAAATGGAAAAAAGAAAGTATCATAGTGTCTGTTAGTGATAGTTTTTATTGAGTTTTTGATTGAATGTTTAGATCCTTGGGAATGGAACTAAGTTAGTGCCTACAATTATTCTGTTAAATCTGCTGTGCTCCCTGTGCCAACAGATTGCTCTCCTACTCTACATATTACAGAAAATCTTCCCATTTCCAGTGCAGTTGAAACTGTGCTATGGGATCTGCCTTAACAACACAGGCATTGACGTTGCAGGTTGTTGAATGAGCTGCATATTCAACAGGTGTCTCTATGTGCCTACTTGATGCCAAACACTGGACTTGGCACCCCAGGGAAGAGAAGAAAAAAGTATACAAGTTAGGTCTGTAATTGTCTACCATTGCCAAAAAAGTGAAAAATGATTGTTAAAACAACTGGTAGAACCAGTCTGAGTAAAGTGACATTTCTGTTGATATAGGCCAAACATCAATAAAAAGTTATATAGACCATAGTCTCTATAATATAGACTAATATATTTTACATGTAAAATAGTGGTGTTGGCCATAAATCTTAAATCCAGTGGATTTAAAACTTGAGATAATGGATTTCCTCCTTACTTTATTATACTGTAAGACTTCCAGTGGCTATTGTGAGGAGGGCCCAAGGTTAGTTTTATAAGAAGTCTTTTAATAGTGGTTTTATATTTGATTAGAACGGTTATCTGAGATGTGAACCAGCTATATCTGTGGGCATTTGTTGCTGGCATGCTTGGAAAGCCTACTGAATCTGGTTGCTTTGCTTTCCTCTGTTCCTCAGAAGAAATTAATACCCATGAGAAATATGGCTTCATTCAACTATTATGTAGACAGATTTGCAAACTACCAATCAGCCAGCAGAGATAATGACAAATTCTATTTTAAAATAAATATTTATGAGATAATGGCCAATGATCTGGGTGTTTCTGGGAATCTACATGGGGCAGTGGGAGAAAATTTAGGTTTTGAAGGTAATCTGATTTAGATTTGAATTCCAGTTGAGTGACATTGGGCCAAGTGGTAATAACCCTGAGCCTTAGCTGCTTCATCTGTCAAATAAGGGAGGCAAGACCTTCACAGCTCATTGTGAGCATTTCAGGAAATGAGTGAAGGGTGCCCAACACTTAGTGGGCACAAGTTGACTTTACGTTTTTTCCTTCTTTCCTTGCAGTGATTTCAGGATGCTCTTGAGTCATTTATACGTGTGTCTAAAATGAAATCTGAAGGACGTTACAAAATAAATCTGAAATTTAAAATGTCTCCTCTTGTGTATTTCAAATGAATGTAAAGCTAAGCTTTATTTCAGGACCCAATATTATCATTTAGATTAAGCATATGCTTACACCTATGCTTAATTTTTTCTGATTGTTTTGGCAAAGCTATGTGGTTACACTATTATTTCACCGGTGCTCTGTTAGTATTAAGTCTATTGGGAATGAATTACCTGCTGATTAATTAGCATAAGTATTCACATGAAGGTTTTCAGCCTGGAGTACATTTTTAGGCTAATTTCTTCACAGAACAAGAAAAAAAAATTAGCAACTGCTTATTATGTTATTTGTTATTCTAAGCAAAAGCACATAAGAATTCATATGTATATTTCAAAATATATTTCCTCTTATTGTCATGCTTTCTCTTCTTTCAAATGTATTACAAATTTAGTATGTCTTGTACTTGTTGGCTAATGCCACAAGTGCACCTATAATGGTATTTGCAACAGAAGAAAGCCTGACTTGCCTTCAGTAGTCAGATTCCAAGTCATATTTCTTGGCACTAAGGGGAGCCAAGGGATTTCATGAAAAGAGCTTGAAGTTTGGAGTCAGAACCTGGGTATGTGACTCTGCCACTTTTTGTGTTCCTGTGGCCTTGATTACAAAAGTTATTTAACTGTTTTCGCTTTCCTCCTTTATAATGCATGAATGCCTCTACAAAACAAGGATTAAGTGTGATGATGTATGCCGAGGTGCTGAGTACAAGGCGAAGTGCTACATAATTACAGGGTACTCTATAAAGTTTCCAGGCTCTGTCTCAGGGATCAGTACAATTGTTCTGTAACAAAATCACAGTGAATAGCTCCTGCCTCTGGGGCCACATGGCCACATGGTCAGCTGCTACACTCTGTTGCTGCAGTACAAAGGCAGCCAGGGATCATAAGCAGATGATCTAGAGCCCAGGGGCCATAGAGTACAGCCCTCTCTAGCCTTTCGGAGCTAGAAGGAATTTGGGAAACTAGCCATGTTTACTTAATATAACCTGATGGGCATTCTTAGAAGGGACTTAAGGTAGAATTCTTTAGGCAACTATTCCTGGGCTCTTCCACCTGCTTTGCAACATTCCACAATTGGGTGATTTGGGGCAACTTATTTAGCTTCTCTGTGTTGATGCTCTCAGTTGTATTTGAAGGTAATCATATACTTTGTGGAGACATTGAGAAGGTTAGATAAGATGCTTAGAGTACTAAATATAGTGCCTGGAACATAACAAGAATCAGAACAACATTACTTGGGATTAGCAGTCCATTTCACAGAGGAAATAATCAAGACCCAGAGCCATTGAAGGATTTGCCTTAGGTTGTAGTAGTAATGGAGGAGCCTGTCTTGGAGCCTCTGTCACTTGAACTGTGAAATAAGAGGGTTGGACGAAATAACCTCTTTGGCTCTTCAAGTTCCATTTGGTATAATTCTACTAACTGGTTCTCTGGAGCTTAAAGAACTAATTCACCTCCCCATGTGCCTTTTTTATAGTCTGGCAGTGACTTAGTGTGCAGGAGTAGTAAATTGGTAGAAAACTGGGTATTAGAGAGTGTGGATCTGATTTAACTTTAAATATATAAATGCTTAAAGCATTGCATATGCAGATATCAGAGAAATGAGCCAAATTCATGGTAATCAGTGTGACAAATAACTGCATTGAATACGATGTGAATCTCATGAACTTTCATGCCATATGTTTTAAATCAAGTGTGTATATATGTTCATATTATGACAAAATGATTAGAGTAATGAAATGGAAAACATATCACCACCATACACTAATATGTTTAACCATGTCCCAGGACACTTGGGATATTTCTTAGGACAGGTTTTTGTAAGTTTATTGCTTCTAAAGTGGTAAGTAGGCTGCTAACTAGAATGTGATGACCTTGTCCCTTCTGAATTGCACTAAGTGTAGTTTGGCTTTTTCTGATGTTCTGTACCACCTGGCCTTTTTTTTTTTTTTTTTTTACTTTTATCTGGTGATCCATCCATCCCCAAGGCCATACTTAACATATACTTTTCTAAGTCCCGTTTATTTTCCTTTGTGCTCTAATGCCCTCTGTGTACAGCCTCTGGCTCCTGATGCTGAACTAAGTACTGCCACTTCTCAAAGAGGTAGAATTAAGCCTGGGCACCTGATGCTGGGCAGGGTCAGCAAGGTTTCTTTGCAACAACTAATGCTGGATAATAGCAAAGTTAGAGGACGCTGAGTAGTTTCTCATGGTTTCTCTTCTTTCCTACCTGCCCTCCTCCAACACACACATGCTGACATGCTGATTTAGGAATAGACTTTGAAGAAATGACTATGGCCAGCTGAGGGTGCAGGATGGGCAGGAAGAAAGGATTCAGTAATGAATGTGTAAACAGAAGATTACATTATAAAGTAGAGCAGGTGGTGAGGGTGAATGGGAAGTCAGGAGAGAAAAATGGAAAACACTGCAGTGAATACAAAGTGGCTGAAGAGAAAGTAAGATCAGATCAGGGAGAGGAGACACGAGAAAAGTGGAAGGACCGTAAGGGCTATCGTGCAACAAAGGAGGAAGGACAAAGAGGAACATCTGCCCAGAGAAGAAGTGGCTGCTTTAAAACCCCAGTTCAATGCTCCTTTTGTCCCATTCAGTTTGCTTTCAGGTTGAAATACAGCATCCTGTCAACAAACAGGCAGTGACGTCTAGAAGTCTGAACTCACTGCCGGGGTAAAGCAGGAGCTTAAGGAATAAACTAGTGTCCAGCGACATAGAAAAGAATCCTTTGATTCATTACAACAGATTCTTGAACTCTTATGAATGCTTCTTTTTTTCATCGGGAAAAATCACATTCATTGCCATGTTTTTTTTACTACTTGTCTGCATACTTGTTCTTTGTCCAATAACAGATTTTATATCTTTTTTATATAAAGCCATAATCACCAATTCATTCTTTTAAGGAAAAGCAAGAGATAGAAGCATTTAAAGGACTCCATATGTTTGAAGCACTTGCTGATTTCCTGTAGAAACTTATTATAAAATCATTTCTAGTGAGTTTATGACATCCAGTTTGAGATCTTTGAATTCATGTTTTCTAAAGTTACTAAATCTCACCCTGTATACTAAAAAACATTGTCCTGTTTGTCTAGGAATGCTAAGCATCCTCATCTAAATTATTTTTAAAAGGTAGGTGAAGACATGTGGCCTGGTAGTTAAAATGCCAGGTGTGCCCCACATCACAGTGCCTGGGTTCAAATCCAAGATGCATTCCGCATTCCAGATTGCTACTGATGCAGAATCCCAAAGGCAGCAAGTGATGGCACTGGGTCTCGGCTACCCACTTGGGAGATCTAGGCTGAGTCCTTGGCTCCTGACTTAGCTTGGTCCTGCTCCAGGCTTTGTTAAGTAGTGAGAAGAACCCAGTACATGGGAATCTTTCTCCAATTATTTTTAAAAGGAGAAAAGGAACTTCACAAACATTTACCAAACATTTCTTGAATCACCCCTATGTGCAAGCTTTGTATTAGGATGTTGGACTAGAAATAAAAGTAAGGCAAGAATTCTGCTTTCAAAAAGTGACTATTCTAAGGGCTGGTGCCATGGCATAGGAGGCTAATCCTCTCATGGAGCTCCAGTCCTCTTACTGAGGGACCTGGGAGATGACTGACCTCATGGATGGAGCCGGCTCTATGTAGAGAGTCATAGGAGTTTTCCATAAGTGACTTTGGGTCATGTTTATTTTTATTATTTATTACAACTTTAAAGATTTATTTATTTTTATTGGAAAGTCATATATTCAGAGAGGAGGAAAGACAGACAGGAAGATCTTCTGTCCATTGATTAACTCCCCAAGTGGCCAGGAGCTTCCTCCAGGTCTCCCACGCGGGTGCAGAGTCCCAAAGCTTTGGGCCATCCTTGACTGCTTTCCCAGGCCACAAGCAGGGAGCTGGAAGGGAAGTGGGGCTGCCCGGATTAGAACTGGCACCCATTCAGGATCCTGGCGCATCCAAGGCGAGGACTTTAATAACTAGGCTAGTGTGCTGGGCCCGGGAGTGATTAGATTGGCTAGGCCTTTAGAGTGGAACTCCATAATTGAGTCATGGCTGCTTTAAGAGAGAGCACCCAAGCACAGTGTGAGTGTGCTGCTCTCTCCTGCTTCACGGTTTGTCATGTGAACAATGGGGCTAAAAGATCTTGGTGTGTGAACCTCCAGAACCACGAACTAAAATAAGCCTTCTTCCTTCAGAAGTAAGTTATGTAGCTGGGATAACATAAGTATTAGGTAGTTGGAATCACAAAAATCTGACCAATGAATTTAGAAACAGGAAGTGGTAGTGGATAACTAAAAATACAGTAATAGTCATTTAAGTAGTAAAATTAATTGGTGCACAACAAACACAGATCAAAAACTTGCATTTTCCAAATTTCTCGTATACCTTTTTTGTTTTTAAATTTTTCCTGATACAGTCCCATTGGCTCAGGGATTTCCCTTTCTACCCTTTCCTCTCCCCAACCCTGCCCCACTGTTTCCCCTATATTATTACAATAGTGTAGTCCTTCAGCCTAAGTCAGTTATTCTGCTACTTAAGTGTGTCATGACATTGTAGGTATAGGCAATGATAAAGTTCAGCATCCTATTGTCAAAATATAGTTAACAGTCTCATGGGGATTCCATCTTTGATTCAGGAGTAGAATTGCATGCTGCAATGTATCTGTACTTCTCAGACACACCTGTCTTACAGATGTTGATTATCCACCCACTCATCCACCTTTATCCAAGAATCGATCCGGTCTTTTGTGATTCTGCATGATAGGTAATATGCTGGACTCTGGAGGTACAGAGGAGAAAAAGATGATCTTTGCCCTTAATGGGATCATAATTTAGAAGTAGACACAAGTGTGGCAACAATCTTCAAATGGCTTCAGAAGAGTTACGGTGGAGAAATGCCTGTAGCATACGAAAGCATAGTGTATCTAGCTCAGTCCAGATATTAAGAGTCAATGGAAATCAGCAAGGTCTCCCTGACCTGGAGAAGTC